TCAGCACAAGACCGCTGTCAGGCTGAGGAGGAGATCAATGAAATTCGCAAGTCATACGAAGAGGAACTGGACAAACTGCGACAGCTCTTGAAAAAGGCTCGGGGGTCCACAGACCAAGCAACTGCAGAGCAGGTAATAGGAAATGGAACAATGATGGAAATAAAAGGGGGTTGTGAAGGCCTGAGAGCGAGGGAGAGAAGCTTCTAGTTTCTTGCTTATCCTTTAAGGTGACATTTCTTTAGGTGATGCTGTCACTTTGGATGAAGGTGGAAGAAAGCACTACAGATACGTGCAGAGGAGCCAGGAATCAAACAGAGCCTCTCTTTTCCTTTTCTAAAGTTCACTTAATGTTTAAATAATCCATGTGTAATGTTTAATTACTCTGGTTTAATTTCAAGCAAAACTGAAAAAAAGTCTATGAAGAATTCCAAACATGGTAAGGTCAGTGTCCTCACCCACCAGACACTATCCTTCAGGCAGAAAGGACAGATTTTGCTAACAGGGAAAGGAAACCAAGGAGAATGGCAGGACAAAGCTGGATCTCTAGTCCATGTGACAGCTGCCTTTCTCATTGCTAAGTTTATAAATTCATATTTGTATGTCAGTTTCTTGTGAATTTAATTGGCATGAATCCATGAATCATTGCCCTCGATTTGATCACCTCTGAGGATGAGTTTCTGTACCTATGTAGTTCAAAGTCTGAACTCTGAAACATGATCACCTTATGGCCCTGCCCTCCAGGGACATGTGTAGATAGTCAGACCTTTGTCTTTGTCCTTTTGGGGTCCTGGCAACAATGGAATCTTCCTGCCTATATTTAAGAAGTGCATTTCCTTTGACAATAATGAAGGTCTTTTTAATAGTGTGCCCCTATGAGTGTGTGCTGTCAGCTTATTCGTTTGATGAAAGATGGGACAGGTCCCCCAGGATGCAGTCATTGCTTTGTCTTGGCAGCTGTCTCTAGCACAGGCTGAGCTGCAGACCCAGTGGGAAATGAAATGTGAGCGTTTGTTGGCCTCCGCCAAGGAGGAGCACCGGCAGCAGTACCAGGAGGCGTGCGCGCAGAGAGACGCCAACGAACAGAAGCTGACACGAGTTCAGGAAAAGGTAGGTGTTCTCCCTGAGCCAGGCAGCTTGGACAGTCCAGTTCATTCGAGGCAAGCAAGAGTTAGAGTCTTACAGATCCTTTTGTGCCTAAAAGATGTTAATAGCTACACGGTGTTTAATTCTTCAGTCAGTTATATTTCACATACTTACTCTAAATTCAGATCAGTGACCTGGAAAAAAGAAAAATAGCACCAGTGTTATGGAGTATGTTTTCCATTATTACTTCATTCTTCATTTATTAAACAAACATCTATTGAGTGTAAGTTGTGTTCCGCACATTGTGTTTGGGAAAGGGCATAGAAAGAACTTTCTCTTCAAGGACCTCACATTCAAGAAGGAACAAAGAAAAACCAAAGATACGCATTAAGTGCAGTAGGGTGTGAGGCTCAGAAGAGGCAGTTCTTGGGGGGAGCTGCCTACAGAAGGCAGGTGACATTTGAGCAGAGCCGTGAAGGACAAGTGGCTTTGATAAGGTGGAGAAGGAGGCAGAGCACCCTGGGCTAAGGTGCTGCAGGATAGAGAGTGGGTGTGGTGGGATCAGCAGGCACAAAAGAGAGAGAGGCAGGAAGTGGGTTAGGTCGTGGCATGAAAGTCTCCATCTCTGGAAGTCAGGTTCTTTTATTACAGTACCTTGGTGAAAGGTTTTGACTTGAGTGTGGTGGAGGCAGTCTTGTAGGTGAATAGGTTTCCACTAACACTGACTATGTGACTAGAACTGTTACCCACCCACCCCTTTTGTTGTCATTATATTCTTGACCTGATTAGGAACAAGGAAAGAGAGAATGAAGTTGTGAGCTGAGACTGAGTGATAAGCAAATAGAATATTCTGATTCAGCAGGCTTGGGGGAGGGCAGAAGGGGTGGTCCCCAGGAGACCCTTAGGAAGTAAGAGTTGATGTTTAGAATGGTTCTCCTCCCCTTGTGTTTTCTGACATTCACTTGGTAGTCCAGGTTCCGGAGGCCACAGCTGTAGTCTTTGTTTTGCAGTGCTTAGCTCTCCAGGCCCAAGTCACAGCTCTGAAAGAGCAAAATGAACAGCATGTCAAGGAACTAGAGAAAAGCGAGTCCCAAATGTCTGGGAATGGAGTTGCCACTACAGACCTGTCAGAGAAGGTGAGCTGGTACTGTGAACAAGAAGAAAACCACAGCATACCAAGGGCTTAATTGTGCATACCAAGCATTCAGAAAGTGACCAAGTTGTTGTGTTAATAGTTTTGTTTTTCTCACTTTAGTGATACTCCACTTGTCTGCTTAAGTCAAAATCAGCCCTTTGGAACCTAGCTACCCTGGTGGAAAACCCAGAAAGACACCGTCCTTCTGGGATTTTAGCAGACGCAGGAAGAGCATCTAAGTCACAGGAATGGAGTGGGGCCATATGTCCAGTGACCACGAGCCACCAGTCCTTACAGCCTGGGAGCTGTCGATAGTGATGGCAGTGGGGGCGGGGCATCAGTAAATGTCCTCAGTCCGGGGCACACAGACACAGCTCGCCTGCCCTGGATAGTGAACTCTCATGGGTGGCCCTCCTGTCACCAAGTGCTCTCCACAGTGACAGTCTTCAGTGCCTCAGGTAGTCACCAGCTTTGTCCCACAGTATAGCTTTATTGTAGCCTTCCAAGCCTCTGGAATTTCAGTGCATCCTTTAATGACATGATTTTGACAGCATACATTTTTATCTTGTTTTCTCTCCTCACATCTTAACATAGGTCAAGAAGATCATGAACCAGGTGTTCCAGTCCTTGCGGGGAGAGTTTGAGCTGGAGGAATCTTATAATGGCAGGACGATTCTGGGCACCATCTTGAATACAATCAAGGTACTGCCAGCTGTTGTTTTATGGAAATGGGTATCTTATTGCTTAAGTACCTTCTAAGGGATCATGAATAAAAACTGTTGAAGACTGTTCATGAGTAATTACAGTGCCTGGAATGACTTTTATGTGGACAGATATGTTCTGCCTTATATGACAGGAAGAAATAAAATCATTTGAACTAGATGGTTAGTTTGTGTTAATAAGGACTAAAGAACTATGAGTGCCTGCTGTTTTCCTTTCAGTGATCATCTCTTCCTCCTTGGCTTTTGAACAGATGGTGACTCTTCAGTTGTTGAACCATCAGGAACAAGAGAAGAGGGAGAGCAACAGTGAAGAAGGAGGAGAGAGACCTCAGAGACCTTCCCAGGAGCAGTCGGTCTCAGCCAGTTCTGGGCCATCTCAAGAGTCCCTGCATAAGGAGAGGCAGGAGGCCCCCAGTGTGCCACTGGCGCAGGTGGTCAAGGCAGCTATCCCATCACCTCCTCAGACCCTGCCCGCTGCCCAGGATGGTGTACAGAGCAGAGCAGAGGAGACCTCGGAATCAGAGGCACCGTCAGAGATGAAGGATGATTCCAACCCACCAGAACTGGCTTGCACTCCATCCGAGAGAGGTCTGGGGCCCCCAACTTCAATTCCACCTAGCCCTCCAGGTTCTAGAACCATGGACCCTGAGTGGGAGGAGACACTTGCTGCCAGCCCAGTGGCAGCTAAGTCAGATGACCCACTGAGAAAGGCCTTTGTCAAGGAAGTGGCTCCAGATGGGCCACCGCAAGAAAGCTCCAGCAGACCATCTCTGACTTCAGACCTCAAGACGGAGGACACGCTGGCCTTAGGGCCTGAAAGCCCAAGAGAGCCTCAGCCTCCAGAGCTCAATAAAAAAGAGAATCTCACTGGTGCCACCGATTCCTCCAAGGAGCTGTTGAGTACAGAGGCAGGTTCTCCAGATCCAGCAGCCACCCACAGTACCAGCCATGATTCTCAGTGTTCCAGGTATGTCCCCTGAGCAGGCCTGGCAACTCTTTCTTCAGAGCCACACTCACTGACTCACATACTCGACTCATTCATGTGTTTATTCACAATACCATATTAGTGCGGTACTTGTTGTGTACAAGGCACTGTGGTGGGCACTGTAAGGGGGTGACAATCAAGGCAGATATTGTTCTTGATTTCGAGGCACTTATGGTCTAGCAGAGAAGACAATACTTCTACAAGCTTCAGAATTGCTAAAAAAAAGAGAAAGAAACAAGGTGCTATAATAGAAAATAAAAGAGGAAGTTACTCTGTTTTAGGTAGTCTCTGATTTCTCTAGTGCTGCTGAACAGAGATACCACGAGTGGATGACTTTAACAAATTTATTCTCTCACAGTTCAGGAGGCCAGAAGTCCGAATCCAGAGCTGCCTCTAGGGGAAGGCTTTCTCTGTGTGGGCTCTGGAGGAAGGTCCTGTCTCTTCAGCTGCTGCTTCCTAGTTCCTTGAAGAGGTGTCTTGGCATCTGTCTTACCCCCTCTCTCCTTTGCTGGCTTGTTTAATCTCTTTCTCACAAGAGACTGACTCAAAATATACCCCATGCTAATCCTGCCTCATTAACATAGCAAAGACAACCCCTTCCCAAATGGGTCTATAACCACAGGCATCAAGATTTACAATTAAACATATGCTGGGGGACATAATTCAATCTGTAACAAGCAGGGTGGCTAGAGAAGGATTCTGAGAAGATAATATTTAAACTGACTTGTGCAGGCTGAAAGGTGCCATCTGTACCAAGAGGGGGAGGAAGAGCTGGAGGGCTGAGAGAACAGCATCCGCAGAGACCCTGCAGTGGGAGGGAACCTGACACAGTTGAGGAGCTAAAAGAAGGCACAGTGAGCCAGAGCAGAGAGGTGAAAGGTGAGGTCGGAGAGGTCAGCAAGGCCCAGGTCACCTGAGATTTAAAGTCACTATTAGAAGTTTGGACTTAAGCACAGTGGGAAGCTATGAAGGGGATCTAAGCTGAAGAGTGCTATGGGCTAGTTTATTATTACTATTATTAGAAAAGGTCGCTGTGGTGTAGGTTATGGAGGAGGTCAAGAGGGCCAGGAAGGCCAACTCTGAGAGATGCGGCAGTGACCCCAGAGCCCAGTGGCCCTCGGAGCTGCTGAACACTGTGGCCTGGGGCGGGGGTAACAGTGTTACATGCCTTGCTTTTCTTCCAGTCTTCCTGGGGATGAAGAGGATGACCTGTTTAAAGGGGCCACTCTGAAAGTCCCAAGGCCCAAGGAAGATCCTGAGGAAGAGGACGAAGATGAGGTGGTAAGAGTGTTTGACGCGTTGCCAAGTCCTCACACCGCCACCAGGGGGCCCTTCGCCACTGGCTCTGAGAAGCACCTCCCAAGGCAGAGAGATGGAGTCTGTTGGTGGCCCACCCCCTGGACTGTGTGCGCAGGGCCCTGGGAGAGCAGGCTCGGGGCTGGGAGAGGGCGGCTCTGCACGCACAGCGGGACGGCCAGGTGCCACTTTATTCCTGAGAAAGGATCATACTTCTAGTCCACACAGGGATTGCTCCTGCCCTAAGTGAGGAGAGCTGGGCTGCTTAGTCGCACATGGGAATGCTAAAGTCTCAGGCTGCCCCAGGCTTTTCAAACAGAAAGGGGCTCTGGAGATTTCTGTTGCATCCTTATTCATAGACAAAACTGGGGCCCACGAAAGATGACTTGCCAAAAGCCATTGAGCAAGTTAATGGCAGAGTGAGGGTTAAAATCCTGGGCTAAGGCCATCTGTTTCTGAGCACTTTTTGCCTACTCAGTCTGTTTTCCCGCCTGCTGTCTTTATTTTGTCAGCCTAGCACCCCTGGGCAGAGAAGTCCTGACCGTGTACAAAGCACAAGAGTGCAGTTCAGGAAGGTGAGCTGCTAACAGAGTCTCAACTAGAACCCAGATCCTTGGGTCTGTGGCTTTCCACTGTGCCGAGTTAGACCTTCTGTCAGGAGGGCATCTTGACTGCTACGATGCAGTGTGGGGAGGGACACAGATGGGCTACTGCCCCAGTCCCACCTAGGAACAGAGTATGTGGTTGCATGGGGCCAATTCTGCCCCTTCATGTATCAGCCTGAGTGGGTTCTGCTCTCTGCTGAAACTGGAAAAACTCGGGCCCCTCTGGCCCAGGTTCCTTTGGGGGAAATGTACTAGTTCTTCCTGTTAGCCTCTTTTTTCCAAGAATTAAATTTTCTTTTGAGAATCCTAAATATGAATTCTGCACTGAAAAAAACAAAAAATACAAAACAGAAAACAAGTGGCTATCTCAAGTGACTGCCCTAGAATTAGATTTTTTTTTCCAAGTGTTTTATTGGTATTAAAATGAAGAACATCAAGTTGTTAATAACTTTTATTTCTTGGGTGCTCTGAAAACGACTTCACAGACATTTAATCCTCTAATAACCCAATGAGGTAGGTCATCACTTTTAGCCTATTTATAGATGAGAGGACTTGAGGCTCCGGGAGATTCAACAACCTACCCAGGGTTGTGTCACCAGTAAATGCACAGCCAGAGCAGAGAAGCATGAGCCACCTTGAAAACCCTTTACTGTCACTAAAGGGAAAGGTACCAGGTAAAAGTGCCATGTGTCAGTAGGTAGAGGAGTTGGGATCAGCCCAGGACTCTTGGTACCACACCACACTGCTTCCCCTATGGCCTAGCCCTGCAGTGACTGAGCCTAGACCTGCAGGAGCCTACCAGAGCAGATTAGCACAGAATATTTAGTCCATGCCTGTCTCCAGCTTCCATCCCTGTTACCCCTATGGGACCTATTCCCTTGCAATCTATAGAAGATAGGCCAAAATCTCAAACCATTCAAAGGGTAAGAGATTCTCTTTGTGGCCCATCAGTCCCCTTTGTGCCCCCTCCCTGGTAGTGGGGAGGGGGGGTGGGACCAGTGAGACCAGCGTATGGGAGGTTTGGCCTCACATTCCTGGTATTTCATCTCTTGGGAGACTCCGCTTGGGAATGTAGCCAGCCCTCCAAATTTGACTCTTTCTCCGATGATGGGGTCACATTCGGGGCAGACAGACCACTTTGGGCCACAGCAGCAGTGCTTTCTTAGATGCGACTGTATTCTTACCTATTCCCTTTGCCTACTGCATCACTCTCTTCCCTAGGGCCGTTCTGCTTCTGTCTCCTCATCTCTCCTCTCCTACCCTTATTTCCCCACATGACATGTGTAGTTACTGGGTAAGAGGAAAACCTGTCAAATCAATACATGTGCTTCACAAATAAATGCCAAAATTAGCAAACAAAGTTGGTCTTTTCTTCTCTGTGTTGGAAGATTGCCTCCTTCTCTGCATGCTTATCTCAGCTTGACCTGGAAATCTAGGTCTGCTGGCCTCAGGGTTGGTCCTTTGAGTGCAGGCCGAACCAACAATCTCCTTTCCAGCCTAAAGCCGGGAGCAGATAACAGATTGCACCACCTTACAGAGGCGGGAAGTCCAGCAGGGACAAGTGAGGACTGACTACTCTTTCCTGTTTTGTCAGAGCATGAAGGGACGCCCGCCCCCAGCACCCCTTTTTGGAGATGATGATGATGACGATGACATTGACTGGCTGGGATGAAGACCCAGGAAACGGTTGCCAGCATTGCTCTCCCAGCCCTTATCTGAGCACAGTTTTGCACAGCAGCCCTAGGACTAGGTGAGCCTCAGGGTGAGGTAAAGGTGAGCGTTCTGAGGACAGTGGTTCTGATACCTAAGTTAGCCAACTTCTGAGACCCTTGCCTGTCCATGTGAAGAAGAGTGTGAGCCTGTCTTCAAAACACTGGTGGTTTCAGCAGTGTGTGTAGTCCTGCCTCAGTTTCCGTTGGAGGAAGAGCCTGCTAGCTTCCTTCTGGCCACTCACCTACAGGACTCCTGCTCTTTCAAGCTTTGTACTGTCTTCATTAGCTCTCAGACTGATCCAGGGAGCCTTCCTCCATCTGCTTCTCAGTGTTCAATTGCACCTGGGCAATAAAACCTTTCACCTGGGGTGAGGCCTCCTGGGTTAAACTTGGGGTAAATACTTCAGCTAAATTCTATTCAGTTAACAGCCTTCCTGCAGTCCCGGGACATACATCTTTTTTTTCTGCCTTAAATCTGATACAACATGTCAGTGAATATTTGAATTTAATAAAATTAAAATAAATGTCTGCAGTAAAACTTAACTCAAGCTCTTGGGGAGAAATCACATTTGGATCTAAGGGCTGTGTTACACTCTGGAAATCTACAGGTAGGAGTTGCAACAGATCTGGGTTCATTAATGAGCATGAAAGCACTGTGACATTCCTTTTGGCACCTAACCATGGAACTCTTAGGCTTTCAGGGTCACCACTCTGCTGTCCCAGTTCATAAGGTTCAGGATATTGTGGTTAGCTGAGGCCTGGTGCTGTAGTGCACTTGCTCCTGCAGGCGTGACCCTGCACCCTAGGAAGCCATGTAGAAGGGCTGGGCGGTCCCTCCATTCCACTGTCCAGTATGGCACCTGAGGGATTCTTCACCACTATTGAGAGTAGCCTCCATTGCCTCTGAGTTCAGGCCAGGACTAATGCAGAGAACAAAAGTGAGAAAATGTTTGCGGTCGTTTTATTTATTCCACGATCTTCCAAAGCTCCTACAAAA